CGCGCGCGAGTGCGCGGCGGCGGCCGCGTCTGCCCGCGCGTGAGCGTGAGCGGGGCGGGGCGAGGCCGGGCGTGGCGGGGGCCGGGCGAGGAGAGCCGGAGCGGGGCGCGCGCGGCGGCGTCGCGCCCGGAGGCGGACCGCCAGTTCGGGCGACGAAGAGGAGCGGCTCGTGCGCGGAGGCGCGCGGCTCGGGGTGGCGTGCGCCACCCACTCGCACCGAGGTACGGCGTCGTGTCCTTCAGCTCCGCGGACGTCGGGTGCGATCGACGAGTTGAGAACATTTGGCCCGATGAGCGACAGCTGGCGTCGAACTTCTGGGCGAAATGCGGTCACTTCGCCGGCGGCGCGCCTCTTGGACGCCGCCAGCCCGGCGTCGCCGCCGCCGGCCGCTGTTTTTTTTTGCTTGCAGGCTGGGCGTCTTGCTGATGACGTTGATGTGCGCAAGAAGCGGTCGTCGGCGCGCAGCCGGCACGCGCAGCACGGGCGACTGCGCGCGGCCTCTGCCGCGCGCGGGGGCCCCTGACCGGCGGCGCGCTACGTAGCGGCCCCGCGCAGCCAATCGCACGATCGCCCGTACTCCTGGCCGCGCACCACCGACGCGGCGCGCGGGTCCTGCCGCGGCGCATCCAAGCAGCTCGCGACGCAGCTCGGGGTCGCTGCGGTGGCGCCTGGGCGCGCGGCGGGCGGGACGCCGCCGCGGCGCCAGCGCGCACGACGCGTACAGCTCCTCGAGCCTCGTAAGCGCTGGCGCGAGGCGGCCGCACGGCGCCGCGCGCACACATGCGCAGGTACGCGCGCCAGTGACTTGGTGGGGGCGGGCGACGCGCTGGCGCAGCAGCTAGCGCGCCACCAGGCTCTCGCGGCCGACGGCGCACGCTGCACGCCCGACGAGCGCATGGCGAGCCTAGTGCGCGGGGGGCTAGTGGCCAGCGGGCGGCGGATCGAGTCGGCGGACCGCACGCGCAGGTGGTGGCAGGCCCGGCGCGGGCGGCACTGGGGGCGGGGGCGGAGCCGGCGCTGGCGCCTATCGACGCCAGCGACGGCGCCGTGCGCTTGTAGGAGGAGAAGACGGGCGGCGGAGGCCCCTTGCTCACGCTCACGGGGTAGCACGTGATCTCCCGCAGCGGCGCGGCGTCCTTCTTGTGAACGCGGATCCGAGTCAGGTGCGGGGACAAGGGGAAGTATTCTAATTCAGTATCGCCTAGCTCTGCAGGAGAAAAACAACGGATCCACACACATAAGTCCGACAGCTCGCAACGAGGGTCTACTCAAAGTCTCTAAGGTGCTTGCTGTTACGTCTACAAAGTCCCAATCACCCAATCTGTTGCTGGTCGAAGGAGCACTACCGCTCCTTCGCTATGACGAACGCTTCTACACTTGATGAAGAAGAAGGTGTGCCGGTTATCACTGAAAGGTTTTTGTCTAGTTTGTAGCACTGGTGCACACGAAATCGCAAGAGTTGCTGGTGCATAGTTTAGAGTCTTGAAAATCTCAGTTATAAGAAGCTAGTTCACTGATGTGTCGTGCACTTATTGAAGAGTCATATAGAAAATATCTTCTTTTTAAAATTCACTTATTGTCAAGAGGATGAGATTGTTTCATTTCAAAGGAAATTGTGATGGAATGGATTGCGTTTATGCTACAATTAGAAGTTTACTATATAATATTTTTGTAGACGGTATTTAAGGTGTTAAAGCAAAAGCAAAATTAGTGAAGGTTAAGGTACATGACATGCTAGTCTGAAATAAGAGCATTTCAGCTCAAAGTTTGTATTTTTCATGCAAATACATTTCTTGAATCAGAACTGAGATCTTTTAGAAAAGAAGTTACAACATACTTCTATTCTCCAATGCATTTATTACAGAATGGGCCAACATGCTACCCAGACTGTTTCAACAGTGCAGCCTTTATCTGTGTCACAAATTAACAATTACATTTTGTTCTGGAAACATTATTTCTGTATAAATGTGTATATTCCAGAAAGACAACAAGAACATCTCATGCATTCTACTCAATCAATTTACATTTCACAATACAGAATAATGAAGAAGACAAACCTTTCACCCCTGTGGATGTGCTCTGGTCCCTCACCTTGATGAATCATTTGCAGCATGCCCTAACTTATGTTAGTTATCCATTACTGGTTTTCATATAATCAAACAAAGCCTACATCCAGGTTACAGCAAATATTTGTATTTCACTACAGGCATAATTTCCCTTTCTACAGAATATCACCCAATACATACAAGGCACATATACACAAATATTGACACTTTTTAAAAATTAAATTTTTTATCTACATTTTTTCTCACTCATTTGTGGCATTAGTTTTCATAATAATTATGAAGAAAATTCGTTCAAGCCACTTCCTTTGAAATCACATCCCAGAAAAAAATTTTAAATACATTACGAACTTTTTGAAATTTGAAAATTACAAATTTCATCGACTCATAATAGACATTAACCATTATCTGTTATTTAATATATATTTTATTTATTATATTTTACAGTAATCTACATTGCTCATAGTATAATAACTCATAAAGGAGTTCAATTTAAAAGTATTTTACATTTTCAGAAACATTTTATTTTACTGTTTCCAAAAAAGCAAAATTGCACATCAAAAAGCCTATCTCCAAAATCAATATCACCTTCCAATATACCCAAAATAATTTAATGAATTCCTTCTTACCTTTTGGTCGCTCAGGTGCTGGTTTACGCAGGCCATGCAGAGGTACTTCTCCACCCCGTTGAATAGTTTTGTAGGCCTGCTTCTGCTGCTCAGGACTCAGTTGGTTTTGTAGATTCTCATCACGACGTTTAAACACTAATGTAGAATCACTTTCATAGCCTGATTCTTTCAGAGCACTGCCAATCAAATTACAACCACATGATTGTATATTAAATTTCAGAATTAGCAATGAAAATTAAACAATACAAGCTTAAAATAGTACTTACTAAGACATGAAAGGCTTCCCTGATGATGCAGATGGCATCATCTTCTGTTCTGATTGAGCCTGTGAAAATTAATATGAACATTTATTAACAATAACAAGATCTTTTTGAAAAATATGCATATTTGAATATATGTATACGAATTTGTTCTGCACTCTAATAACATTTCACAGGTATATTAAAACTGTAAAAGTTCTGTTAGAATTTTTTAAGTGAAAAAGTGATTTGCAACATCACTAACCAATGAAAAATACTTAAACTCTTTAAAAAAAAAGTCAACTCCTGCTTCAATAATTACAACTTCATCTACTGAAAATAATAACAATGTAGCAGGTTTTAAGAGAAAGTGTACCAAATAGTACAACACAACACCTTCATTGTCCAGATTTTTCTCTATGTACCAAGTAAATCTATCATCTAGCTAGAAAAGGCTACTTGAATATTTTCAAAAAACTGGTAATTAGTTCCTTAAAAAAAAAAAACCTGCAAGTGTTTCATGACTTATTTACAATGTCATATGCCTTGAGTACAAATGTAATTGAAGGAAGACAATAAACTTTTATTTTATTTATTTACTTATTTAATGTCAAAAAATGTTTTGAAAACTCTGTGGTACATATGGTGGAGAAGTATCTGCATTTTTTTTTTTTTTTCTCGCTTTGAAACCCTTGATCTCCTCGCCAAAGGGATAAAAGGTAATGATTGTTACAAGAGGAAAGACTAAATGTAATGGAGGGCTACTCCAAATATATATACACTTTCAATGCTCAAAGATGGCAAAAAGACGTTGTTTACAGCAAAGGCACAACAATTTTTTTATAAAATAATAAGAAAGTCTGACTCCATTTCTTTTACAATACTAAGACAAATTATTATGAATAAAAAGTACCAATAAGTATTTTCGGCAACATTTAAAGGTACAAAACATTTGCTCCCATGTAGAAGACACTATTTACATTGGCAAATGAGCTATATATTTTATTTTAATGACAAACAAACATAACTCCCCAATAAATAGAGCTCAAGAAAATTTGTACAGATTGAGTAACTGCATTCACTCTCCAAAAGCAAAGCAAGGAGCCATTTCTGAATTTGCTCTAGGGAAACTGTACAGAACACCTTATCCAAATAAATTCTTGCCTAGAATTTATAAATTTATGGCAAGAATTTATGGAATCAAGAAGCATATTTATCGTTTTAGAATTATACAGTAAAAATTGTCTTTGACAAAAGTGATTAAAGCCTTTATATCATTGATAAAACAAATATTATTTTCTTTTGCAGGTGCTCAGAATAATTTCTAATTGTGTAGAAACAGTTAAGCAGGAGGAAAGATTTTACTTGGCATTCTGTATCCATTTAAATTGTTTAATGTCATCTGGGAATCTGTTGTTATGTTACATTAGAATGCAAACACATTACCTTCTGGTAATGAAAAAGAGACTGTCTTAAATAATAACAAATAAAAATATAGCGCAAAAGAAAAAGATATAAAGAGACAAAATGAGACAGGATACTTCTCCTTACCATGTGAATTGGCTTCCCCTTTTTCTCAAACTTCAATTATAAATACTATAAACATAGTATGAGAACAGCACAAAATTTAAAAAAAACACCATAAAAATATGTTTCTGTTATGACTGAAGTTCATAAATGTCAATGAACACATTGAAAAATGAAGTCTACAAATAGAAACGTAAATAATTGAAAATCTAGTGTAGTATTAGAAATATTAATGTAATTATTGTCTTGAATGACATATAATGCCTTTATATAAAGGCTTTTAATAAGCTATACAGGGTTGACTGCTTTTTGATAATTTTCAAAGCCACTGTACTTTTTTATCTTGTTATTATTGTTATGTATTTTTTCAAATTATTATTAGTTGTGAAGACCACATCTGTTAAAACAAGTTCAATATTTCATCACTTTAGAAACACATTTAATTGATGTCATCCTTCATGCATCACACAATAATACATCTGCAGCAGTACAAATTGTGGTCAAGAATAAACAAAAAAATGTAAGGATATTTATATAATTTATTTTCTTCACATGCTTGGAGGTCTATTTGGGAGAAAATGCTTATAAATTGCCATGCTGAAAAACAATACAGGACCTGTAAGAAAGAAGTTACACTACATCATTCTTACATGCTGGAGTCTATCTACAAAAAACGCAACTGTAAATTCAGAATTAGTATTCATACATCATACAAGCCACAGGAAATTCATCTACATTCTTTTATAATAAGTTTACCACACTAAAAATGTGGTCCTTGCTCAAGAATATAATTTTGGAATGAAATTGTTTAAATCTGTTTTGGAAATTTGTAAAATACCTACATGAAAATGAGAGTAATAAAGGTAGAAGAAAAAAGAAAATAGCTTTTCCACTCAATTCTCTAACACAAAAATTTACATAAGACTATTTCTACAGATATCAAATATTTAATGAGCAAACCATTACAACTGAAAATAAAAATAAAAAATGTGTGTATTTCTCATTTTTTATCTCTAGAAGATCAAATATGTAATTCTTTGACTACAAAACTTTGAGTGAAAAAAGTAAAACAATTATAAGTTAAATTACACTTGCATCTCCAGAGAAGGACTAATTTTATTGAATATTAACATTTTTGAAAATGTCTTGAACAATAATTATTCAACGCCTCTAACTAATTTCTAGACACTTCTATTAATTCATTCAACGAAACCAAATGAATTACCAACATGTTTTGAACACATTTAGTTTCTAGACAACATTAACTTATATACATGTACATAAATATGTTGAAGTGTCTACAAGCCAAAATTATTAAGGTCTCCTAGTAAAGAAGCACAGGGAGTTTTTTATTTTCATGTATCTTTGCAAAACTTCTTTATCCTACGAAGCCTAGAATAAAGAGCAAATTTAATATATAGGATCAGTGGTTAATTAATTTACAGAATAGTTATAATACGAGCAGCAGCAATATATGCAGCAAAACATCCTGAAAAATAACACCAAATATAATCTTCAAAGCTTCATGCGCATTATCATCAAAAACACATACATGCTTGATAAAAATGGGCAAATTAGCATATTATGTACATGCTGAAGCATATTCACACACATTGAATGCAAAAAAATTCCCTCCTTGACCTGTGGATTATTCAGCATACACACCATCTAATATACAACAGCACTACGAATTATAAGGCTTCTTAAAACATATCACTGATTCTTCAAAATTTGCTTGGAACTTTTCAAGATTATGAAACTAATTTATTATCAGTAAGAAACAATATTTATCTAATTCATTCATATATTATTAAAGTATCAAAAGGAAAGAACTAATTTCTGCAGTGTTACTGCAGTATTTCTGCAGGGGAGTCTTCGGGAGTTATCAACTGCTGAATGCAGTAATAAATACAGCTGCTGCTGTTACTACATCTGTTGCTACAAAAGCTACTATTAGTTTATTTAATTTTCCAAATGTTCTCTAAATGAATATAATGAAAGTTAGGAAGAAAGAATAGAATTTGCATTTGCCGTGATTACCTGACATCATATCAAATAAGTAATAAATTACACTTTTATTATTCTTAAATATAATTGTTTTTCCTTAATATATTAAAACAGTTTTCAATACAAGCAAATAACGTAAATATAATGCATTTTTATAACAACCTTCATGAAAGCAAGATCGAAGAAAATTCTTTATAAATTTAATAAAGAAAGAGGGGCTGATGCAGCCATGCTGGGCAGCAACTTAAGAGAAAGCAGAGGAATAGAAACACGAATGAAGTTTCAAAAAAACAGGGTTGCATGTTTCAAGAGCAGACCAGTAATAACTGCACGAGGGTCTTACTCTTTGGTATACGCTGTCAGCCAGTAATGAGCGATAATTAGAAGATGGAGCATGTGTGTCCAACCACTTAATAATCCATGGATGATAAACAGAAAAGAAAGCACAAAAACACATTAGATCAGTCTGGTTTCTTTGCTGTGACATAAAATACATTATTTCTAATCATTGCGCTGTAATTACGGAGTTACTAAAACATTTTATATTTGATCCTTACTGTTTCTCTGGGCATACAGTTAACTGAAATCATGAAATATAATTCTGCTAAAGAGAAACTATTTCAATAAAATTGAAGATTAATTAAAAGTAATAACTAATTGGAATATTAACATTTCCACTCACAAATGATAATTATTCAAATAGAAAATGTTTTCAGTAACCTCTTGGCATATCCACCACGTAAATGAACTTGAAATAATCATAAATTTCCAATGAACTAAATTAATTCTCAAATTTTCTTCTTGAATTAAAATTTGGTACGGCATGGCGTCTCAGTTAACTTTATAAAAATCAAAGCAACTTAAGCATACACATTTGAGATTAAAACGTAATTTTTGGTTAATAACTAAGCAAACTTCTTTTTAGGTTAACACATATATCTGCCATACACTTATGCCTACAGGATGTTATGTCTACTAAAACAGATTCTGAGTCATGCCTATTTATAAAAAGAATGCAGGAGAAAAGTACCTGTATAAAAAATTCATTTCTTGGCTCCTTTAAGATACATTTTAAACAAAAAGAAAATACATTTCACCAAATAACCATTTGAATATCAAATACAACTTTACATATTAAAACATGAATTTTAAAAAAAGCCAAGAAATAATTATTACTTAGGTTATTAAATAAGGTTATTAAAACAATTAATATAGAAAAATTTGATTTTTCCGTACCCCATCAAATATATCCAGAACTTCATCCCACCACTGAAATAAAATAAACATCAGTTAATCAAAAATTAAGAGGTTACATAGTTTATAAATCTCTTTTTTTTTTAGAGAGAATGATGAAAAGAAAATTTAAATTATCAAAACAACATTATGTTTTTAAAATAACTTTTGTGTTTTTCAATTTTTTTAAAATTTTTATTTGTTGATTATCAATCAATATAATTTAAAAAAACTGTTTTCTTCATCATTCTTGCCGCACTGAGTATCTATAAATATTCACCTATTGGCTAAGATTAAAATCTACAGGATTAATCAAGAATGTTAACCAGAATCTAATACGAAATGGGGTTCACTGCAGGCTAATTTTCTACCTACTACTATGGACTAAGTGGACAAAAATTAAGACATAAAATAGTTATATGTAAATGTACTGCTTTTTTGTTTTCTGAGACATGCCTATTTATAAAAAGTATGCTAGAGGAATGTACCTGTATAAAAAACTCATTTCTTGGATCCTTTAAGATATATTATAAACAAAAAGAAAAGACATTTCACCAAATAAGTGACAATATAGAAAAAGAGAAATTTGCTTTCAATTCTGTAATGCATATAAAAAATTGATATATCAGTGTACGAATACATTAGTCATGGTAGTCAAAGTAAAAAATCAGTACATCTTGTAGTTTTTCTGCTAGAAGAAAAGTTTGGAAAATGGTAAATCAAAACAGGTTGTACACAACAATAGCACTCTACCTGTTACATACACATATGTAGATGAATATATACAATTATATATTGTTATTTATGTATCAACCTTCATTACAATCACTATTATTCATATTCATACCTGTTAAAAAAATTATATGTAAATGTACGTAAAAGTTAATATTACAATTTTGAAAAGAATTTATAGAAAGCTCACCTGTTTTGTTTCTTTATCTGATATAGAAGAATGACCAGGTTCATAGTCTTCTATTCTTCCTGGTTGATTCTTATAAACATCACTGCCATATTTAATTGCTGCAGCATGTGGAATATATCTAGAAATTTAGCGATTATCAGTTGCAACATATAATTAAAATGATTAAGTAATTAAACTGATTTATCTTTAAGATAATATAGTACACTTACTTTGATCTAGGTAAAGTGCTTGTAGTAAAATCGTTTTCTTTATTTTTAATTCGTCGGCGATCGAGTGTGGCATACTTTGCAGTGTAGCCAATGTCGGAATCGTAACCCAGTGGCTCAGGTTCTGACAGATAACCTCCAGCAGACGTGTATGGATAGTGACCTAATAAACAATTACATTATGTTGAAATAATAACAAAATCAGGGCTTGTTAAACTTATCTCTTCCAATAATGATATTTTCTTATGATTTTTTAGTGTCAAAAAAAAATGAAGAAAAGTAATAATGTAATTCTGTCATTAATGTTTATAAATGTAATAATTAGAACAAAATGAAAAATAACATGTGTTATTACCTGAGAATATTAGATGTCATATTATCGTGCACTTACCAAACAATGTTTAGCTGTTTTTTGTTTCCCATAATAGAAATTTCATAAGCAATTACTCATAAACTATTTCACCTAATTTAAGCTGCTGAATTATTATGTTAGCAAATGTTATAAAAACAAATGATGTGTTGATGTAAAGGTTTAAAAGCAAGTTAACAGCAAGCAGAACACAAATGCAGTGAACAATGAGACATCTACAATTACAGTGAACAGAGACACAAGAAGCAGTGAGCACCATTGCTACTGATTTACTAGTTAAATAACAAAGGCATATTTGTAATCCCTTGGCTCACAAAAATATTGACTTTGAAATAAATCAAAATGTTAAGAAAAAAATCATTGTAGTATTTAATGATCAAAAGATAATTGAAAATTAGCAAAAATACTACTATATCAAAATGCAAACTTAAGCAAAATATATACAGGCCAAGGAATTATAAAGCTCTCTGCTGTGCTAAAAGTAACACACATTAGTAACCCATGTTATTGAAAAGTCAAATATTCTGATTTATCATCACCTCTCCTTGGTTTGTATCGGATAGTGATATAATCGTCTGTAAAAAATGAGAAAATAAAACTTTGTTTATTTCATTACAATCATGCAGGAATACAATACAGTGACAAAGTCACTAATAATATTGGGACAAATCTTCTACTGGAAGGATTTAAATTTAGATTTCAATGTAAGTTAAAAAGGTGTTTCATTTCTAAATTTTAAATAAAATTCTTCACTCAAGGGTTTGACAACATCAATAGAATGAAAACTCAGTAATAATTTCACTTAAAAAAATGAATTAAATTTAAGAAAATGTTTTCAAACTCACCGTCTTTGCCAGATTTATGCAGCGAGTCATACATTCGTTTGTACCATTTAGCTTGATTTGGTTCTTTCACTTCCTGTTTGACAAAAATAGTATAATTACAATTTGAAATACTAATATCAAATAAATTCTGACAACAAAAAATATTACATCATAATACCTTTGATCCGTTCTGGATTGCAACGCAAGAAAAAAATGGCATTGGTTAATATTAAATACTTTTAATTAACATATGTTTCTTTAGAAATAATGATAAAATTGATATTTTGTATAAATGATATTAACCTAATTCTCCAAACAAAACCAATTTATTTTCTAAACTAATTTTACCTTAAATTAAAGATATACAAGTTTAAAGCATTTCCTTTTACTTTATTTTTAAAGAAAAACGATGAATGATTTAATATCAAGACTTTACATGAATTAATGTTTCATTAAATTATTAACATTCATTAATTATATGATCTAATTACACACATAATTTCAGACAAAAAAAGATACCTAATGAAATTTATAAAAGATCAATCATTATTTATATTGAATAGCTGAGTAACAAGATGTAATTGTGTATCAGTCATATATTGTCCATATTTGATATCAAGACAATACAACTATAGACAAAATCATAGGTTGGCAATGTTTGATGTAATCTGCCGACTAGAGAAGACAGACAAAAATCAACAACCAGAAAGGGAATATACATTATTGAGTGAGGACGTACATTTTTAACAGAACCCTCTAATCAGAGTGGCATAATTGTATGGAAAATTTGATATAACAAATGCAATGTCATATTGGTGGTATATTGTTTGAGGACAGTACTATGAAAAATTACGATGGATGAAAAATGGAGAGTAGATACAGTAAATTGTACATATGGAATTGGATCTAAAGGAAAGATTTATGTTATTTGAGAGATAAAGAAGACATACATAGGTATCACTAACAAAAATTGTGGAGTCAACTAAAAGTTTCATTTTTTTTCAGTTTCAAACAATATTATGTAAGGTGTTTTTATTATTATGAATAATATATGTCTTCTATTTTGAATTTGAAAGAATTTTAGTATAATATTTTCAGCAAGTTACCTTATTTAAATGAATGATACATACCATAGAAGCATTAGCCCTGAACAAATATTAAATGAATATTTTTGTTTTTCCCCATTAAATAAATTGATTATTATTTATTTTAATTCGTGAAAAAAGGAAAAACATCACAAAATAATATATTAAAATATTCTTAGCCCTCTGAATATTTTTATTAATTATTTATAAGCTCTCAGGACCAATAATGCTTTACAACTCTTAATTTCTATTTGAAAAAAATTGTAGCTCCACAGTTAAACTTACAGATCGCAGAACCATTGGAATCCCATCTTTTGTTGTTGGACCAATGCCTTCATATTTTCTAGGGGCCAGCTCAATTATTTTCTTCTGTCCTGATTCAGTTTCCTTTTGGTACTCTTTCTTCACACTGTACACTGCAATCACAAAACAATGTAAGAGTATTTTAAAGAATCATAAAATTCACTGAGTGATGTTAATTTAAGTGTGCAATAATACAATAACATATTACATAAAGTTCTGCATTACTATACACAAATATTGTACATGAACATTTGTTTAACAACTCAAACAAATATACCAAAATAGCATGATTAATATTAAAATAAGAGAAAGAAAATACAATTAACTGGAAAAATAATCATGGATAAAATGCCTTTAATTTTAATTGCAAATCCTACTCCTTTATAAAATGCTACTTTTATAATAAGTTCATAATATTTTCTTTTTAGTGAGATTACATTCTGGTTTATTTTCATTATATTTTCACCATTTGTACCAAAAAAAATTTAAAAAGAAGAAAAACATAATAATAACAATTCTTTTTTTAAATTCTAGAAACAAAAACTGCAACATCAAGTCCAAAATTTTGTACATGAGAATTTGCATAACAACAGATTCAAACAGATCTTCAAAAGATTTTTGAAAAATTTTTCAAGATATAATAAACTCATAAAAGTGAAATGAAGGAATGACTTTTAGAAGAGAAGTTTTATCAAATAAAATATCAATAATTGTAAGTATAACTTCAACTAATAAAAATAGAAATACATGTAGCTGATGAAACTGCTTACTTATTTCATTTTGACCAAGATTCAATTCCTTATCACTTTCTCTTGAGCTCATTCTATCCAAGTAGTGTGCACCTTTGGGCAACTGACCCTCTGGAAGCAAGAAAGAAAAAGAAATATACAACGGCACATTGTAGCACACACAAAAATATTTGTATATATGTACTTGGGGGTTATTCAGAGGTTGTCTATCATAGAGAGGATATATAAAATAACATTTAAAAAAATTACAGTATGGATTCAACTATCTGTAAGGACAATAATAAAATGCAACATTAAACAATTCAAAAAAGTTAGTAGTTATTAGGCATTAGTTTATTTAAACCGCCGTCACAAAATTAGTAATTAGAATTTCTGACATTTAAATTTGAACACCTTGACTTTTCTGTCTCTAAGAATACAACATATTTTCAATTGAAAATTGTTCTTGAAAGAAAGATACCAACAGGTCTATGAATCATCTGAGAATTGAGATGATATCATTGATGTTAAAAGTTCACGGTTCTACAATACAATATCGATTTGAGAATCTCAGGAACAATTTTAGTACAGATGGTGAAGTACTAAGTATAAATTTGAGGAGAAGAGATCAGGGATCAGGGATGGATCGGAGATCAGGGATACGTATTTCAGAATTTGAATACTACATACCTCACCTTCAAAGATTTTGTTGTATTCAAAATACAATTTTTATAATTTTTGCATATAAAGAAATAAAAAATAAGTAAATGATTGAATAAATAAATAAAAATAAAAGAATGAAATGATTATTTTTTTTATTTAAGAAAATGGAATAAGTATTAGGATACTTTTCCCCAACTTTTCTTTTCTTAGTTGGGGTGGGTTTGGGAGAGCATGACTGGCTGCTAGATACTTCTACACCTTCATTTTTCTTTTCTTGGTTGGGGTTGGGGTAAAGAGTAAATTAATAAATAAATATAAATAAACAAAAGTAATTAAATTAAAAAAATAAGAAAACAATTAATCTCAAGTCATGTTTTCTCTAACTTTTTCTTTCTTTGGCTGGGAGTAGGGATGGCAGAGCGTGACTGGCTGCCAGCTCCTTTGGTACCTTATTTTTTATTTTTGGTTGGGGGTGGGGGTAAAGGGGGAAATGAATAAATAACTAAATAAATATAAATACACGAAAGAAATGAAATGAGTAATAAAAGAAAATGTCGGGACATGCTCTTCCTAACTTTTTCTAGCTTTGGATGAGGGTGGGGTGAGGATGGGAGACCATGTCTTGCTGCCAGCTGCTTCATTTTTTTTCCTTTGTGTATGTGTGTAGGGGGGGAGTAAATGAATAAATATAAATAAATGAAAGAAATGAAATGAAAAAATAAGAAAAAGAAACAAATGTTATGACATATTTCCCCTAACTTTTCGTTTCTTTGGCTGGGAGCGGGGGTCGGAGAGCGTGACTGACTGCCAGCTCTTTAGGTACCTTCATTTTTCTTTTCTTGGTGGTGGTGGTGGGAGGGGGGGAAGTAAAAAGTAAGTAAGTAAATAAATAAATATAAAGTAACTAAAGAAATGAATTGAAAAAAAAAATTAAGGAAACGGAATAAATGTCAGTACTTGTTCTCCCTGACTTTTTCTTTCTTTGGCTGGAGGTGGGGATGGAAGTGGGAGAGCATGACTGGCCGCCAGCCCTTTCCAATTCATTACCTCGCGCCTTCTGCAGCAGCGTGATGGTCGGGTTCTGCGCGCGCGGCAGGCGGGAGCTGGCGGCGGCGTTGGCGGCGGCGGCGGCGGCGGGTCCGCCCGCGAGCCCGGAGAGCCCCGACGCGGGCGCGCTCTGGCTCTGCACGAGGCGCGACGACAGCAGCGCCGCGGCGGACTGCTGCTGCAGCTGCGCGGCCGTCGCCGCCGAAGAGGCGCGCGCCTCGAAGTCGACGAGCGCCTGCTGTTGCTGCTGCTGCTGCAGCTGCTGCCAGGGAGGCAGCGCCGAGGAGGAAGAGGCGGCGGACGCCAAGGGCGAGTCGACGGCGCTGCCGGTGCCGGCCGACGACTGCGGCGGGGGCGTGGACGCCGCGCTGGGCGGGCGCGCGGCCTCCTGCGACAGCACACAGCGGAGCTGCATTGCCAACAGAACGAAAGCCTTTTTACACGCCTGCTCCACGCACCTTGTTTCTCGGGGGGAAACATTTTGTTAACTATCAACAACATTCAAAACAACGTGAAATTAAATTAGTTATTTAAATATAGATATTACAGATAATGGATTGAAAGAAAACAACTATGAAAGTATGGAATATGGTTTGTTAACATTTAGATGGTTCTTTTCTGTTTCATTATACCAGAATTTTAATTTTATTATTTTTAATTATTATATTGAAAAAATTGAGAGATTTAACGAGAGTTGGAGCATAAGTCATGGCAACTATTTTTTCTTCTATAAGAAATATTATATGATCACGTAATTTTATCTGTCGTCTAATTTGCAGTACTAGTCTGCGTTCACAACCACAGTTTGTTAGCACAGCGACCAAGTCAGTTGTGTGACTACCGCCGCGCGAGGTGAATGTAACCCGTTTCGAGCAGCGCCCGTACACTAAGAGCCGTTCTTCTCGGGAGAAATTCTCAAGAGAGTCACAGGAAGTTAGGGGAATCTGTTGGAAAAAATGCCCTTCCAAACCGGACAGTCGCGGGATGGCCAGGAGTGTTTCGGAGAGGACTCGTAATAACCTGTGATCTTCAACGCACGGGACGACGTGCAACGGTGCGTTTCTCGACATCACATTTGCCCTTTGACTGCAGTAGCGTCCGTCGTCTGCCTCCCTCGAGCAGGTGCTTGATTATTACAAGTGCTACATCGGCCCGCCCACTCGCTGCTCGTTCCGCGCGTTGGTTGACAAAGGTTGCTTCGCGTCCTCGCTGAAACTCTCCCGGCCATCTACCGACTGTCTGGAGATGCATTATTCCCAAGAATTTCCACCAAATCTCTATGACATTCTCGGGCATTTCTCCCGTGGAGAACGGCTATCTTTGTGTTTGGTCGCTGTTCGAAACGGGTTACATTCATCTGGCACGACAACTGATTTCACATGACTCTTTATTCTAACACACTCAAAGAACCAGCTATTGTTGTGAACACATATAGTGCAGCATTAATTGCAGACGACAAATAAAATTGTCATCAGATAATATTTCTTTAAAAATAGTTGCCCCAACCCTCGCATTTTGTTATCTTACATACTTTGAGACGTTTTTTATTTTGTATATTATTGTTTCTCCAGCACTTTATATTGTAGAAAACTGCGGACAAATGGTCCTTTAATTACAAATAAATAAATGAAATCACATGCATGTATCACATGAGCAACTACATTATTCTGAATACATTCTTTAGAGATATGAACGTTTATTTCTTGCTTTCCCCTTTCAATGTTAACATTTCTTTTCTCCCTCGTCAGCCAAAATGCGATTCTAATTGTCACTACATGAATACTCGCATACACCGGAGAGACTCGTTTTCAATATTTTAGAAATATTACAGAACTAATTTATATAAGCCTTACTTCTTGATTTATAATATGTTTTGGATCTATCAATTCAGTTTTGTTATAATTTGTAGTAAAGCAACTTTGACGAACTGCAACCAATATCAGTCTATGATACTAAATACTAAAATCAATACTAAATTGAAACATTTCACACTAGTGTTAGGGTAATACATATTGGTATTTTATTTGTATAGTATCGTGAAAACTTTTTGAGAATATGGAACTAAAATAAAGTACGCCTACCCGAACACGTCTAACGGTTTCAATAATAAAGTTTGCAGTAAATAAACACTACTGGGATGAAATAGCATCACATTTCAAAATACTCTGATTCTGCACTTTCCTAAATATAATCTTATTAAATTATTGTTTTGGAGTTGTTGTTGCAAGTTCAGGTTCGGTTTTATAAACTGGTTGGCATGACTCGTATTTGGTACGCACACTGGGATCTCCCTGAATCTATTTAGCCATGTAAATAGGGCGATAAATAGATGCTAGACGCACCTGACTGCAGATAATCGAAATTCAATTTCTCATGAATTTCCACTCACGTCATTGTCCTTTAAAAGGCCTCGCATCGGAAAATGAAAAATAACTCGAAAATGCTCTGCAGTACAATAGCTCTCATGGAGTGCATGCACTCCACTCTGGACATAACTTACAGATCCAAATGGAGGGCAAACGCAATTGGGAGACCGTCACTTGTTCCCGTTAATTCATTTAATTGGATTTCGCGCCCGCACCGAGACCACTTTAAATGGAATTTGCGATCGCTGCTCGACGCACCGCTGGTTTAAGTCTGGACATTCAAATTGTTCATCAAAAAGGACAGTTCTGGCCCAACTCAATAAACCAAAATTACTTTGTCCAATAAAATACGTCCTTTTCTACATCGAATATAAACTCGTGTAGGCATAGTATTTATGAATATGAGAACAATTACGCCAGCATCTGGAAGACCTTTGCAAGAATTTACTGCCAGACACATTTTTACATTAACTGTTTCAGTACATTCGTTCTCAGAGTACACGTAGATTCAAAATATTGAATCTTAATCTCTCGAATCCCAATACCTCTTACTAACACATGGTAGACAGTGGCATGGATATTGTGGTTGAAAAAAGATCTTCTTCGGTTGTATCAGCTTCCTTAATAAATTTAATAACTGGAAATTGACAAATTAGTCATTAGCGCAACACAATGAAATGGTCGTGATTTGAAGCAAACTGAACGACCTTTTGCCCTTGCCAAATATTTTAATATGCATTAAACGTAACTCCTCTAAAACTAACTTAAGAAGCATAAGAGTAAAATAGCCGTTTGCTTTTAACTTTGGGTACCGAAGATCAGCCCTGTGTTAATAGAGGATTAATTTGTTCAGCGAGGCTAAAACTGTCACGTCGATATAACTTATCGACTGATCGACAACACATTCCCATGCGTTTCGTTTTCCCTTTTTCGGATGATCTCCCGCGATGATCATCATTCACCAGCACTATGCTCTTTCTCCACTTGGGAAAACGAAGACAGACGAAAAGAAAAGGTAAGGTTACATCGAAGCGAGAGCGAAGGAGAATTCAAGAACATTGAATTCTCCTGTTTCGACGAAAACCCGCGGTCATCCATCTTGATGAAACACCGGAGTCAATTTTACTATGGAGTTTTATACCAAAGAATTCAAACATTACCTGGAAACTTGAACCTCTTGACCCACCGCAGAGCGCTCTCTAGCGCTCTGAGCAAACACGACTTTGAAGAGGGGAGGGGGGGGGCGGATACGTGCGCATTCTACGCCATGAGAGTCAACTTCAATATCGCAGCACCTTTTTGTCGCAGACAGCGCGCCCTTTTGCCGGAAGTCAGCCCCGGAGGAAGGGTCCCGAAGAAGGCGAATAGGGGAAAGGGCGAGGAAGGGAGGGGCAGAGTGGGGTGGGGTGGGGTGGGGTCCCGCTGCGACTTTGATGTCGCCGAGAGTCATTTGTTTGTCCTCGCTGCACTCCCGCCGGCTTTCGCCCGGTGGCGCGGAGGGCGAGGGAGACAAGCGTGCGGAAGTCGGACGGGGAGGAGGAGGAGCAGTATTCGGAAGTGGGGCTGGAGGCCAGAAAGGGGGAGGAGTACGTGATGGCGAGGACGCGTGAGGCGGATTCGAGTGTGAAATGAAGGAAGAACCTGCGATGCAGAGCACGGATGGTCAACAAATAGCAAATCTCATGAAGTACTTGTCATTTCTTTCACATGCCAAGAAAGGTTGGCACTTTGGCACTATCTTTTTTCAACAAGCATCATTGTCTTTGGAATAAATAAAAACTTTCTTCTTGTGTTTCCATGACCTCAATGACATCTCACCAGTGTTTCAAGATGTGTAATAAGTTACGGCCTTGACATTCTTCTAGTTGAAAGATCGTCTAAACACAAAATGGTTGAATGTGGTAATACACATAATTTTACATTTTTAGAATAGCATTTCTTACAAATGTAACGTACATTATATGTCACTCTGTGGTTAGAACGAATGCCTTTTAGCCATTACAAAATTTTTACCATAGGATATCCTAACATTTTTGCAATTCACACGCTAGAGATAATTACATTAGGAAATTGGATATGAATAACCGTTAGTAGAAATACGAAAAGTAGTAACAATAGTAAGACCTCTGGATTGAAGGTAGTAAAGAATGTGGAAGCGAAAACAAAATTGAGACGTAGCAAAAGGTATGGTTCAAATTATTTTGCAAAAACCCAAACTGAAAAAGGAGTGAAGAAGATAATATGTTCTTGGAAAGAGACCAAGTAAAAACACAGAGACGATAATGTTGTGTAATTGCTTCATCCAAAATAATATTGACTTTACACAAAAGCAGAAGATATTTTGGGAGTGTAAAAATAAGTGTTCGTTCATTTCAGGTTGATGTTACTATGTCGGTAGACACTCAGCTGATTTACACGAGTCTCACTTCATTTCCAAACACTTCTGCTCAAACGCTCAGAGTATAAAAAACATGTTCGGAAACTTCTGCACAAAGACATTACAGATGAAGCTTAGGTTCTTCAGAAATTACAAATATTTTACTAAAAAGCGATCAGCATTATACAATTCTACCTTTTGCCATTATACGATTTCTTAGAAAATATAACAAACTAATTGAATGTAGTTATTATTTACAAACGCCAATAAATACCAATAGCATATGCATAATTCACTTATCAAAAGAGCAGTTCCAGTAAATCTAAAGTTACTTTTTTTATTGAATGTTCCCGGGCCCGTTAACTGCTACAGTTATTTCTTCCGTCAGTGCAATTAATGTATTTTGTCTGGAGATAGCAATGTTCCTTCCTCGCTGAGTGATGAGATCCAATGTCGACCAACACGCCGGTTTGCGTGGAAATTATCCTCTTATGTATCTCTCCCAGCGCAGCACCACCACATCCGGGACAAGCTAAGCTCCCGACATATGTGGTAGCGTAGTGCGCGTAGGTGCAAGCGTGTCTGCGTGTGTGTAAGAAAGGGGTGAGGATAGGGCAAGGATGAGGAAGAAAATATCGCGCGAGTTCCGAGGGCACTGCCCAGGCATTCTCCTTATTCGAAGAAATAACATAAAACTACCGGTCAGATCACCTGACCGCTAGAATTTTCGACCAGACATAGGTTGTATTCGGCATAGCCCATAGAGCTATTGTCAATCCGTCATTTGCGGGACTGCAGTCCCGGTCAGAGTCGCTGAAGAGGCAGAAGCAATGCTGACTCTGAACTAAACTCGGTCGTTACTTATTTAATTTACTCCGTCGCTAAGAGGAGTAATCATGAGAGAATTTTATTTACATAAAGCTTAAAGAGGTCAGCGGAAACACATGCACTTAAAAAGCACGTGTTTAAGCAACACCGATGATCTCTTTCTCGTCGCTAAAGTCAAAGTAACAAATATTATCGCGTTCCCTTCAGTAAAACCTTCATTTCGAACACGGTGAGCGTTAAGTTAAATATTTGGATTAGAGTACCCAAACTGTTTTCACATCATCACCGCTGAGATAAGCTAAGAAACAAATTAGTCAACAAATTCGCGGATTCTTATTCTACCCTGCAATAACATCACTTGTCTACTCAGACACGGACGGACAAATGAACGGAGGAGGTTGATTGCAGGCCGGTCTGACTGAAGGAAAAACGACATTTTAAGAATGATGCGATGATTTCAAGATGTTTATTGATTTCAAATCCACCGACAACGAATTTACCTAGTAAATACAGAAAAGTTCATTAAAGAGACATTAACTCTTGAGTTTTCCATAATTTCAAATACATGATCTTCATAATATTACGTTGAAGTACTACATTAGGGTTCCCTGTGAGCTTAAAGAAGCATCGACTGTATAAATGTTTTTGTTCGTAACATATTCGTTAACAACATTAGTTACACTGTGAATAGCTGACGTTTGTCAATGCTAATTAGGAAACTCGCTTGACATTTATGATTCACCCTTTTCCGTGTTCGCAGCGGCCATTGCAATTCTCATTCGCATCCTGGGACACCAAGCAGATAAAAAGGAGAAGAGAAAAAATAGAGGAAAGATGAACATAAAATAAAAAGGAGAAGGGTAGAAAACGAAATAGAGAAAAAAGATAAAAAGAGAAGAAAGCGAAGAATAAAAAGAACAAGAGGAGAAAGACAAAGAAAGTGACAAAGAAAAAGACGAAGAGAAAGATGAAGAAAGAAAGGGAAAGGAGTAAGAAAAGAAGAAAGAGAAAAAGAGAAAGAAGAGGAAAGAGAAATACGATCTGTTTTAATTCAGTACCGTGTTCTGCATTTACTTAGCGAATCATAATTTCCAGGTGGGTCAATATATACCCCTTAAGCGTCCATGGAATTTTAACTAAGGATCGATGAATATTATGGGATTGACGTGGGGGTCAATAGCCGAATTTGAACTAGCGGCTAATCGCTCTAATCAATAAAAGGCGGCTAATCGCTCGAATCAATCAATAAATTTTCTTCTTTCTTTTGCACTCATGATTCTCAAACTCAGGAAATCATAACTATCGTACAGCAAAAATGAACTGGCTAATTGTTGAAAAATTTTCACTTCATTTTGTAACCACTGCACAACAACGGAGATTAGAAACTAACCTAATCAGAGGTGAAAACGTCTTCGATTATTATTGTAAATGGACATGTTTACGAAATATTGGTATGCGGAATAGTTATCAGTAAGTCAATACCGGGCATCGCACAGAACTTCGCTATGATTGTGTTGTGTTTCATATTATAGAGAAAATGCCAATAGGCTGATGAAGCAAACAATTCTTTCAAAAGAGGTTGATGCAACAAAAAAAATGAAAAAAAATTGGGAAATCCCTGCTGTTGTCTGTAAATTCTAATATTTCTCGCTTAGCCTCCACGTTGCGGAGCTGGGCAATTGGCCGAAAAATAAGCCTGAAACGCCCCCGAGCGCGCGCTTACCTCGGTGGGCCGTGCGGCGGGGCTGGCGCGGTTCTTGCGCGAGAGCGTGGGCGACTCGAACTTCACGGGGCGGAACTCCTTGCGCTCGGCGGTGGGGCTGGCGCTGGCGCTGCGCGGGCTCCACACGGGCGGCGGGGCCGCATCCTGCCCCTGCCCCAGCGGCGGCTGCGACTGGAGCTTCTCCGGCTCAGAGTCCGGGGCGGGCGACGGCGAGGCCGCCGCCGCCGCTGCGCTCGACGACTTGCCAGGCGTCCACACGCCTGCAACACACACCAAGACGACGCCGTTACTCACGCGGCTCCACTCATAGTGGACGTTTGTTGGACGCTAGTGGTCGATGTACAGCAAATGTCAACCAAATATGTTACGTGTGTCATGAATCATGTGGCGTTGAATACGTTTTGTAATTCCATCGTCTTCCACGAAAGAAAAAAAATTAACAATAAACATTATGTATTGGAATAAGTGCTTTCATACCCTATCTTGAACTACAACTCATTTGTTTACATTGCTCTTAACGGACTGCAGACTGTTATATCCTTAACGGACGCAGGCCATTAAGAGACTTTACGTTCCTCTGCTTAAGTTGATAATAAGAGTCAGTATTATGATGAAAAGTTTCTTATATGTAACAATGTTTTAATATTTGTAAACCACTCGGAAAGTAGACCAGAAATTTGACCATCTCATAATTTTCAGTTTCCTAGAGGAAGGGAGAATGACGCGAATACGATACTTCAAAATTGTAGGAAGAAAGAAATTACCTTTATTCTTATTACGGTATGACATTACATAATATTATTATTGAAATTTCAATATTTCCAAGTCTTTTACGATTTAACTTACGATCTACGAATAAATCATCAAAATAATATTTAAGAAAACTCTATTCGTGAATTGTATAAACAAATTAACTCTTGACTAATAATTCATACATTATAGACATGGTTTTGCAGTAATATTCCATCACATTTTTATACCCCCAACAATGTCTACGTAACTTTTGATGATTAATACGAAGCATGTTTCTCATTCCTCTCGAATTTACCTGATCCCACAAAAATATGGAAGATGATATTCACGACTTGCCAATAGAATCATTTTTATTCTTTGAAATTCGAGTTTATTACTTTCACGGTTAATAATAAACGACGAGATAAACAAAAATGACGATTGTCCCGCTGCAATGAAAAGTAGCCAAAAGACAATGCGACGTGGCGAATGAACCTTGTGTAATGTTGTTTAAAATAAGAAACCTTTCGACGTCTTTGTGATTGAATTCAATAATACCTTTTTACTGAGGATAGACTTGATATCGTACGGCTAAGTTGTAAACAGCTTCACTTAAGATTTTTGAAAAATGCTTAGTCAACGAAAACCTATGAGTTTGAAATATTAACGACAAAACTTTACTATTTTCTTAACGTAACATCCTCAAAGTTTCGTGAAATCTTCAAGCTCGTAACATCCAAGGATTTAACGACAATTTGATGAGGGTGTATTCAATCCATAAACCTAAATCTAAGACCACTTTCTCAGTTCACGAAAATCGAGAAGCAATTCCTCAACGAGGAGACACAATCTCCTGAGAATAATAATTATGAAGAATTTGAATAGTCTGTTATTTCTTATATGAAAGAAATTCAGACTCATAATTATTTCTTGTAGAGAAGAAAAGGAATAATTAAAAAGGTTCGGCAATATAAAAAAACCCATTAAGGCAACGCAGTTCATAAAATGTTTTAGTATAAAGTCAAGTGATGAAGGGCAGACACAAATAGAGTGATTTGGGACGAACTGTCACCATTTCAGAAAGTTTCAGCTCGAAGGAGCGTCTAATAAAAAATAATGTACACTCCCCATCAGTCGGCCTTCATGTAAACGCTCACCCAGGACAAAAACCTAACACCCCAACAATAGCAGCTCGTCACATTAACGTGAATTCATTTATTGATCACAACCACGGGCCAATCACCGCATCTCGTTTCCGCGCCCCCAGAGCCAACATATTCGCGTTCGTGGATTATGTATGTGTGTACACGCCGCCACCGCGCTGAGTGGCTCGTAAATATTCAGCGGGCGGGGCGTCGCGCGGAGAATAAAAACGATTTCGCTAATCACAAGCTAAAACAATCATCACCAGCCGCACCCTCGGACGGCACATCATAATTACCTTTTCGTATATTCCACAGCACACATATCGACAGGTAAAATATGTACGCGTACAGCGCCAGGTACACGGGGAACAATTCGAACATAGCGTCGGCGAGCCAGGCGGAGGCCGCGCGCTCTCAAACGACCTGTATCGCACTGTCGCGGCACTCGGCGAATCTCGCGCGCTGCGGCGCGGCGCGGAGCGGCGCGCGCGGTACCGCGATATTTTCGATTGCTCGAGGTTTACGCGCGACCTTGCCGGGGCGTAGCGCGTGTCAGTGTCTCGCCCGCGCTGCCCCCGCGTGCAAACAGAGCGATGCGAGATTTGTTTTACATCGCGGGCGGATTTACATAACTGTTTACAGCGCGAGGCAGGATGCGGCGCCCGCGGCGGCGGCCGAAAAGATGCGCGTGACGTCAGAGGAGGCGGGGGCGGGCGGGGGGAGAAGAAGGAGCGAGAAAGAAAGCGATATGCTCTGACGTTATTTATTTCCGTAAAAAAAACAGTTAAAACGGTGTGTGACGTGCTATGTGGAGAAGTTAATTTGAAGTTACATTTATGTCCAGAAGCAAAACAAGGGGCCATCTCAGCATTTTCTCGATAATGAGGGAAACTGGACGAAAACTTGATCGAGATGGGGATCACTGACCCCGAAGCTGAAGTGCAATACGTGTTACATGTTCTTTATAATTATATGATCTAAACGGTATATAATACATTAAATGCCATTGTTAAAATTAATGTTGCTTTCCTTTTGGATGCTCGGTATAGAATCTAATTGAATAGAAACGGTTGTGCAGTAGAAAAGATTTTACTTGGGACTTAAACGTTTGTATCGAATTTAATCGTTTAATGTCATCTGTTAGGAGCTGTTCGTCATGTAATGAATTAAGCGATCTACATTATTTCATTCAACTGCAGTCAGATACAGGGACGTGACTTTCTGCACAAGACAGAATCAATATCTTCTACATTTATTCAGAATATTATTTTAATTTTGTTATGCGAGATAAGGAAAATTATTAAGATGTCTGTTAATATTTTTTTACGAAAAAATTTTCATTTTAAAGTAGCAATACCGTTACTATTACTTGTGTTTCTATAAACAGTGTTAGGCACTACACAAGTTCAGTGGAATCTCCAGTATCCGGGATTGCAATAATCACCCGGAGCTTGCTTCAGTATGAAAATGATTAAATGAATAGTTTGAAAAAAATATCAGAGTTAGAATTCTAACCAGCAACTTTATGACCACATAATTAGTTTTGTAAATTGATTTCTCTATGCATTTTGAATTTATCACGGAAATGAGATAAATCTGAGAAGAAATACTAAATAAAAAACAAGAAATAATGGAATATTCTTGAAAAAAATTGTAATATAAAGTGAAATTAGTGAATTCATTTATATGTAAATTTAATGTTATAAATCATAACAAAATTATTTACAAATTTCCTCTTAATTTATATGTTGATGAGCACTTTTGAACAAATAAAAATATTTCCATAAGCACAGGATTTCTATGTTCCGTGCACCTACACTGGATAATGGAGAGTTTACTATATTGCCTTGATTGAATAGAACATTAAGTTTCCTTGAATGACGTTTTCAGGGTATGAACTTCCAATTGTTTGACATATACTGAATGGGCAAAACAAAACTACAATAACGACCATCAGATATTTCTAAATCGATGCCATTCAATAGGACCTGGATAATGGAAAAGTCTCTGAGCGTCCTATAACGGAAAAAATCAGTATTCACCATACGTAACACGACAATTACAGAGTTCACGAATACGTAACAGAAATCAATATTCCGAAGTCCCCGAACGAGGAGCGAAGGCCCGGGGCGGAAGGCGTGGGGCCGCGTCAGTTGCGACGTCTTGCCAAAGCCCAGTTCGCGAGCAATCTAAGTTAGGCGCCTTGTAGCGCGGCATCGGCAGCGGAGGAGGAGGAAGGGGATTAGGAGGCGGAAGCGGGGTTGGCGGCAAACTTCGGCGCATGCGCCTTGAGTTTCCCCTCGCCGCCTCCGCCGCATCGCGCTTCCTGCTTCGCAAAAGACGACAGAGGGGGGGGGTGGAGTGACGGGGAGCGGAGGCGGCGTTACGTGTGAATGGGTCCGCCCGCCCGCTCCCCGAGGCTCGTTAAAAGCAGTGGAGAAGGCGTCGGGCGCGAAGGCGAGAGGGCTACGAAAGATGGTTCAGCGACGGAAATCGCAGGAGGCGAACGCAGGAGAGTGATCTAAGAGGAAGAGGCAGATGGCATTGGCAAAGAAGGCGAAATAAGCAAACGATGACGTTTGCGAAGGAAACACAAAATTAATGGAAGATCTGCGACACACGTAACTGTACACATGTAACGATAAAAAAGCATTAAAACGTGCTTACTAATGTTTTGTGTCACATATAACTAAATACTGATTGATGTAGGGCATTGTTCGTTCGAGTACTAGTAGAGGAATCGGCTGACAAAGCAGCACATTGATACGATTATAACGAATGCTGACCTAAATGGCAACGATTTTATTTTGTTATTTTATTTGATTTATTTTAGTCAAAAAAGTAAAATCAGTTCGTGACATTGGAGTTCGACATTCACAAACGAGAAAAATTTGCTCAATGAAACTGCGCGAAAGAAGGAGTAATAAGAGCACTGTTAAAGTGAGTAAGAGTTTGCTGAAGATATGTGTGGATATAAGCGAACTAGGGTAGCAACAGGTTACAAACGAGACCCTAGTCATGATCATTGAGAATACTAATTTCGAAGCGAGACATGAAAGACTTTGAGGAAACGTAAGTATTGAAGAGGAAGCAACAGAACGGTGGATAACTACGCTACGAGGTCCGCTTTACAGGCTGGAGTTAAAGACAGTAGTTAAGGAGAGAAGCGAGCGTTTCCGTCAGTTTAATAGACGGGCGTTGAAGACCGATGTTAGAGGTCGACCATTAGAATTGAATGTTTGAAGCACTTTCGGGGTGCTTTCGCCTACGTAGTTGTGAGGAGTCGGACAGTGAAGCGTCGCCCACTCAGAGATCCTAGTTTCGTACCCGGATGGTGAAGAATTAAAAAAAAAACTGGGTAACACTTAATACTGACAGAATGAGAATTCTCAAAACAAAGAATTTCATAATTTTTACTGTTTACTTTAGATGTGAAAAACTTAAGTCAACGCTATTATAATTATTATTTTTATTAATAAATGTTATCTGTACGTTCGTTTTTTGAGTTGGATTATTTCTGATAAATTTTGGATCATATAGATAAAAGTGAACATCAGAGAATCTATAAGTAAGTGATGAGAATTATTGCTACAAGAGTTGGTGTCTATGATTTACCCAGGTGAATGTCAGACGACTCTTTGCACAGTATATGAAAATAAAACGGGCCACGGATAGTACGTATTCACTCTCGTGTTCTCCGTCCATTCTTAGGGATGGCCGATGGGCGGATCCGTGAACCGTACTCTACGGCTCAATGCCGGTGATGTAGAAGGCGGTATTGCACGAAGCGAGTATTAATTTCGGGCGAAGAGAGTATTAATTTCAACTACTTAGGTCAGTTAACCCGGAAGTGTAATACATGTTATACCCCGGGAGACGATGTTCTTCCTTCGCTGAAACCCGAGTCCCAGTAGCGACCGTACACGACCAACGTGCTTCTTCGGGACCGTTCGAATTCTCCTCCAGTCAATGGTTGAAATCAACGCTGGCGTCAAAAACCCATTAAGGACGGAACTAGAACCTTCGGACCCCTGGCCAACGACTCTGCAGATGAGACGGTATTGTCACTGCTACATCCCAACTGCTTCGGACGCCGGGTTCAGGCGCGGGCGTCGGCGCCGGGCGCCGTAGCGCGTTCGTTGGACGCGGTAGGCGCGGGCCACCACCCGGCGCGAGAGGGGCGGTGCGCCGAGGGGAGGAGAGGGGAGGGGTGAGGCGGGGGTGGCGCGGTGAGTCAGGTCGGGCGGGAGCGTGCCAGGTGAGCGCGTGCCAGCAGGCGGCGGCGGCGACTGCCCTGGCGCGAGGTCCCCGCGCACAGACCGCGCCTCGCCAGACGCCAGGGCAGGCACCCCTCCGCCCCGCCCCGCCCCTCCCGGCGCCTAAGAACCCGGAACGGACAGCGAAGGCCGTCGTCACTCATTCGCTGATTTACAGGCCACTCGCCGCGCGCGCTTGTAAGACGATAGCCCTAAGTTTCTCTCCGAGAGGGCGACTTATTAGTCCACCCGTGCTGGACGAAGCCGCATGTCATATTCAGGCATTCCAACAATAAAATTGAATGTAAATGATAATATACACCATTCGATAAAAAAAAATTGATAGTGCTATTCGACTACGTTAAATGTGACTGGACTGAGATATGAAATTTTGTTTTGAATTTGATTGATTGATTATTTTATCCACATAAAAGCGTATAAAAGATAACAAAATGTAACAATATGGAAGAAAAATGCGCGCGCTGTGTTCCCCGAGATACAAAAATAGCTGCGGCAACTCTCTCTCCATACATATTCGTACAATATTCATGAATAAACATTCCAAACAAAAAACTAATTATCGGGTATTACCCATCTCATCACAATACGAACTTCAATGTCGCGCTCTCAAATAAAAAATATCACCACAAATATTTCTTTTTTGCTACTTAGGAACCCAGCGCTGGGCGTTTCTTCCACGCTTCGATGTAAACACAAGCGGAACGGGTCGAACTCACAACTGCTACAGTCACGAATACCAGACTAATTTTACATCGGTGCGAGAGAAATTTCGGGCAATAAATAATACGCCCGCGCGAGTAGGCGGCTAAGTAGTGAATAAATGGGCGCGTCGCTCGCGGGGCACTAGCAGGCGAAAGACAAGGCCGCGCGACGTGGCTGTATAGGGGGTTGCCTATTCAGTGCGAAGTAAGGCGCGGCGCAGAGATATTGAAGCAAACCCGACCCTTGTTTAATATTGGTGGCATTGCTTTAACAGATCATTTGTTGGTGTAAAAATAGTTGAAAATAATGAATAAAAATTCGCTGATTGAAATGTCAATTGTACATTGGGTTTGAACGATGGAGGATTTTTGGCAAAAACAAGAAGCTTTGTCGGAATGATAT